CTCATCTTTGGTTTGCTCGACTGGAACATTATTTGGCTAGCAATAAGCTCACATCACAGACAGCTAAATTTGGCATTTTGAGTACAGTGCTACCAGACGAAGTCGCCGAGCAGGTACGACAATACATCGTTCATCCCAGCACAGAAGCGCCTTATGACAAGTTAAAGGAAGAGGTACTGCGATGCACTTCGCTTTCAGATAGGCAAGCACTCGATCGCCTGTTAAGCAATGTTGAGTTAGGTGATAAAACCCCATCTCAACTCATGAGGCATATGCAAAGCCTAGTTGCAGGAAGAGAAATCGATAAACGTCTCTTTTATCAAATCTGGCTGCGACGACTTCCGCAAAACATCCAGCAGGTTCTTGCCTTCGGAGACGACGACATTGACATAGAAAGGCTCACTGAAATCGCAGATCGCATGTACGAGAGGTCAACACCTCAATCTGTCGCTTCCACTAGCAAAATACCAGATAAAGTTATCACGATAGACCCACTGAATAAAGCAGAAGCCATCAGAGTCGACAAAACGTCAAACGAGCGCATAGAAGCCTTAGAACGTAAAATCGACGTGCTCACTGAGCAATTAATGGCAATGAGGGTTAATAGACAACCTACCACAACGTACAGAAGACAACGTAGCCACTCACGCAATAGGCGTAAATATAGCTTACAGCAGAATATATGCTGGTATCATCGGAAATTTGGGGTACACGCAAAACGGTGCACACAACCTTGTGCTTTCCAACAAACGGTGGCGTTGGGAAACGAAAAGGCCGGCGGTCGGTGACGACTGCGGTCGCTGGCCAACACACGTCCCACAGCCGTCTATTCAGGGTGACAGACAAAACAACGGGGGCACAATTCCTGGTAGATACTGGTGCAGAAATTAGTGTAGTTCCCCCAACACCCAACGAGCGCTTACAACCAAACCCAGCATTAGTTCTCAAGGCTGCGAACAATTCTACCATAAAAACATTTGGAACTCGGAGGCAAAAACTTAATTTTGGATGCAGTACGCCATTTGAGTGGGAGTTCGTAGTCGCCGACGTAACCTTTCCTATCATTGGAATAGATTTTCTTCAACACTACGAATTGCTAGTTGACTCTAGTCACCATAGATTGATAGATACCAGTCGTAAACTATCGATTTCAGGCATCTCCACAGATGTCGAGAGTATTCGCTTGATGGTAGCCACAACAGATCAATTATCCAGGTACGATATTTTGCTAAAGAAATTTCCTGAACTGACACAGAGCGATTACTCCACAGCCTCTCTCAAGCACAACGTTACACACCATATTGTAACTAAAGGTCCACCGGTCTCAGCAAAACCACGTCGTCTAGATCCAGCTAAAATGCAAATAGCAAAAGCAGAATTCAACAGATTATTAGATCTAGGAATAATACGACCGTCAAACAGCCCGTGGTCATCACCACTGCATATGGTACCAAAGAAAAACTCAACGGAGATACGACCATGTGGAGATTACCGAGCTTTAAATAAGCAGACGATAGCAGATAGATACCCAATTCCGCACATCCACGATTTTTTCCATAACATGGCAGGTGCTCAGATATTTTCCAAAATTGACCTCGTTCGTGCATACTACCATATACCGGTCGAGCCCAAGGACATCCCCAAAACGGCGGTGACCACTCCTTTTGGCTTATTCGAGTTCATCCGCCTACCATTTGGCTTGACTAACGCAGCTCAAACATTTCAGAGATTCATTGACCAGGTATTGCACGGCCTCCCATTCACTTACGCTTATATCGATGATATACTGGTTGCAAGTAAATCCCCTGAGGAGCACGAACATCACTTAGAAACACTCTTTAAACGTTTAGCCGAATATGGAATTGTCATTAAACCAAGTAAATGTGAATTCGGTAAGAAAACTATAAAATTTTTGGGACATCAGGTAGACAATCAAGGCATTCGACCAATAGCAGAACAGCTGCAAGTCATAAAAGAATACCCGATTCCAGATTCCTTCAAAAAGTTACGCAGATTTCTTGGTCTCGTCAATTTTTATCGCCGTTTCATTCCTCACTGTGCACAGCTGGCCCAACCTCTGAGAGATTTACTAAAAGGTCATGCAAAATCGCTGCACATGAGTACTTCAGCAATCGAGGCATTTGAAAAGCTGAAACAAACTCTAAGCTCAGAAACTTTACTAGTACGTCGTGACGTCAACGCTCCTATAGCGATTATGACAGATGCATCAGATGTCGCCGTCGGTGCAGTTCTTCAACAATTTTCTGCTGGGAAATGGCAACCTCTCTCCTTTTTCTCCAAACGTCTAGACGCCACTCAATCAAGATATAGTGCATTCAGTAGAGAATTACTAGCAGTCTATCTTGCTGTTAAACATTTTCGTCATATGGTAGAAGGAATACCGTTTACCATCTACACAGACCACAAACCACTAACCAAGGCCATGAATGCAAAGCACGATAAGTACTCGCCAAGAGAACTCAGACACCTCGAGTTCATTTCTCAGTTCACTTCAGATATTAGATTCATAAAAGGACATAAAAACGAGGTAGCAGATGCGTTATCCCGCATCCATATAAATACCTTAGAAAAAGACCAATTTGATCTTAAAAATATGGCTAGACTGCAAACTATGGACGAGGATCTGAAAAGAATAAAAAATAGCACGAGTACTTCCTTACGTTTGCAAGATGTTATGCTGGATGAAGGACTAATTATTACGTGTGATGTTTCCAAAGGTAAACCGCGCCCTTTTGTCCCACTAGAAATGCGAAGATCAGTTTTTTCCAAAGTACATGGCATTTCTCACCCTGGCATCCGAGCAACAGTTAAACTGATAAGTGACCGATATGTATGGCCGAATATGAATCGGGAGATTAAACAGTGGGCCAGATCATGTTTAGCCTGCCAAAAGTCAAAAGTACAACGACATACAGTTTCGCCTAATGGACAGTTTCCAGAACCTGATGGTAGGTTCCAACACATACACATTGACATCGTTGGACCATTACCACCATCTAATGGCTTTACGTACATTTTAACGTGTATTGACAGATTTACGAGATGGCCAGTAGCTTGTCCCTTACCTGATATTTCTGCTGAAACCGTTGCAAAGAGCATCGTACAAAATTGGATTTCCAACTTCGGAGTGCCCACCATTATTACTACAGACAGAGGTTCCCAATTCGAAAGCCATTTATTCCAACAACTCACAGAACTACTGGGAATCAAACGTATACGTACTACTGCATATCATCCCAGTTCAAACGGCTTAGTGGAGAGATTTCATCGTCAACTGAAAGCATCATTGATGGCAGTGAAGGACGATGATAAGTGGAGCGATAAATTACCTCTCGTACTTCTTGGAATACGTTCGACAATAAAACAAGATATCAAATGTTGTCCAGCAGAATTAGTTTATGGAACTACTTTACGACTACCTGGAGAATATTTCAACCCAGCCACTGAAGTTCCAACTGACGAAGCTACTTTTGTACAACAACTGAGACAGCATATGAGTCTTTTAAGATATCACCCACCGCGACATCAGCTCAACCAAGCATACATGCCTGAAAAACTAGAAAATTGCACGCATGTTTTCATACGACACGACGGTGTAAGGAAACCACTTCAACCACCCTATGACGGACCATTCAAAGTAATAAGCAGAACAAGCAAAATCATCACTGTCGAACGCGGAGGAAAACACGAGATTGTAAGCATCGATCGAGTAAAACCAGCTTTCATGGAAATAGAGGTGACTGAATGTTTACCCAAGTCATCAACATCACCTAAAATTACGCCACAAAATGATTACTGCTTTCAAGATTCAAAATCTGATGATATTCCGTCTAACAAAACAGAAAGAATCGCAAAATCAGGCAGACGAGTACATTGGCCACAAAGATTTGTACAGACAATTTATTTCTAATTCATTTCCATACTACCTTATTACGGTACTATTAACTGTATGTTAAGATATAAATCTATTCTGTAACTCTTTACAATAACAACCCCATTATTATTCTAATAATTTTTCTGGTTTTATTGTTACATTTTGCACAACTTTCTAAATAATTCGGTTCGTTTCGAAGTTGTTAACATTTTTGCATATATACAGTTATATTATCAAACCTCAAAAACTTAAAATCCTCAATTCGGTTTTCATACCACAAACTCGTGTATATTTCTTCTATAATTGTGATTTACAATATCATTCCGAATACAGGTAAACTTCATTTACCTGCATTCTACGGAGGGGCTATTGTAGTGACCCGTTTTATTACTCATAATCGTACTATACTTTTTTAGGGGCTGCGGGTATCGAACGTTCGCGAGTTGTACGGATTATACTAACGCAAGATCTTATACCAACAACCACTATAGTGTTCGTTCTTCGAGTACCAAATGGTAAAGCAAAAGACCAGATTTTGTCGTCCAAATACGATATATATTTTGGGACCAAATCGCGGGTAGGAATGAATGCTTAGCTAGCTAGTAATCGTGCACGCACGTGACACGACGAAGCACCAAATGGCGGGGATGCTTGACCGTAAGCCTTCAGCTAAACAAGTCGACTTAAACAGTGATGGTCAGCATCCAATGTTGAGTGATGATTGCTGTGGTTAATAATTTTGGGGAATTATTTACCGCTACAGCTCACTCCCCCCCTAGTGGGTTTGTGAGAACCCTAAGACATGACCAGCCGGAAGTAAAAAAATCTCGATGGTTCCCTGATGGGTGAAAAAAATCTTCCGAGCGGCTTGATGGAGAGCCTGCTGGTCTGTCTGCCTATGCTAATAGGGTGTCTGTACATAGCTTCCTCAGTGTTGTTCGTTGGATCCCGTGCTTCGTTTGTTTCCTGTCCAGTGCCCGTTGCACCTGGAAAAGAAAACAAGAATGCTGAGAACCTTGTCAAGAAAAATGTACCAAATAAGCGTTTTTTTTTTACCAAAAATATATGGCATGCATTTACTATACAGTAAAATAATGTTAAGTTCAAAATATCGGGAAAAAAAATATACATCTAATTTAATTTTATGTACGGTTATAGGAAAAATATCATTTACTTGTGTTAAATGACGCAACATAAAAAAAAATTGATGTGTCACTCAGTTATGTGAGATAGGTGTGAAGGTATTCTGGAAATCTAACGTGACGTCCAGAACGCGTTTTCTTAGAGTTATCGACCGAAGTAGCCAGTGGGCGAATGCCCTGACAGTCAATAGTGTGACTCAGAAAATCGAGTGAGTCAACGCCTATCTGACACTTCTGTATATTGATGGTAACACCATGTTGGCGTAACCTTTCAAATGCCAAGTCCAAGTGTCTAAGGTGAGTTTCCTTATCTGGACTGGCAATGAAGCAGTCGGCTAAGTATGCGTATACAAAGTCGAGACCGCGAAATACTTCATCGATGAAGCGTTGGAATGTTTGGGCCGAATTCCGGAGGCCGAATGGCATACGTAGAAATTCGAAAAGTCCGAAAGGCGTGATGATAGCCGTTTTCGGAATATCTTCCGTTGCCATCGGGATTTGGTTATATGCTTTAACCAAGTCGATTTTGGAGAATATAGATGCTCCAGATAATGTTGCCGTCAAGTCGTGTATGTGAGGCAAAGGGTAGCAATCAGGGGTTGTTTTGGCGTTCACTCGCCGGTAATCACCAGTGGGTCGCCAATCGTTGCTATCCTTTTTCGGTACCATATGCAACGGGGATGCCCATGGACTATTCGATGGCCGAATGATGCCAAGGGTGAGCATATGATCGAATTCGTTTCTGGCAATTCTCAGTTTATCAGGGGCCAGTCGTCGTGCCTTAGATGTCACGGGCTGTCCTGAGGTTATGATGTGGTGCATAACATTGCTGGTTATACACGGGAGGTCGTTAGATGGGCAATTCAGTTCCGGATATTTATCAACAATCGGTTGAAAAGTTGGATCGAGGATTGCTTTCATCTTAACGATTGACAAGCTGGGGCCTACGTAAGTTATGCCTTTGATAGACAAACTAGTAGTGTTGTCAATTAATCGTTTACGGCGGACGTCTACGAGCAAATCATGATGATTAAGTAGGTCCGTGCCGATGATGGGCATTGTGACGTCAGCGATCAGAAAAATCCACCGAATAGGTTTGCGTAAACCTACGTTCAGATAGACGTATTTCCGACCATAGGTTGCAATTGGTTTTCCATTTGCAGCCTGTAGGTTGAAGTTAGGATCCTTCTGTCGATCTGCTGCTGTAGCAGGAAGGACGCTGACTTCGGCGCCTGTGTCGACTAGATATCTAGTCTGGCTCATTACATCATGGATGTAAAGTAAGCGGCTAGTGCCACCGGCGACGGTTGCCGCTAACGCGTGCCGGCGGGATAGTTTCCCACAGACTTGGAGGCTTTGTCGAAATCACAAGGTTTTCGACAACATTTCGCTTCCTTGCCATAGGTGTTGTGATACCAACACCAGTCAGGATTTTTGAGAGAACGTGTGTTGGACTTAGATCGTCCACGTGCGTTTAGCCGTTGAGGGGATTTAGAACGACGATAGGAGGAATTGCTAGGCTTGTTTGACCTAAGCATCTGCTGGACGGAGTTGATTAACTCTATCATTGCAGAATCCTTCTTCGAAGTCTGTTCGGTAACAGAGTATACTTCGGCAACTGGCCGTTTCGTTATCTCTAGAATTCTATCTGCAGAGACAGCTAAATCATCTATGAGAACACCCTGAAGTGTCACAAGTACAGTCTGAACTGACTGTGGCAGTTTGGATAAAAATAGTTCTCTGAACAGTCCTTCATCGAACTGACTTTGGCCAATGATCTCTTTCATTCTTGCCAGCATGCTCACAGCTGACTGATCTCCTAACTCGATGTTACGAAATAACTCATCCAGACGTTGTCGATCTGTGAGAACGTTTCTCTTGAGGATGGATGCTTTGAGCAACTCGTACGAGTTACTTACCGACATCTGCAGAGTTACGCACCTGCTGAATTCCCGCGGTAGGGCGTGAATAACTGCAAGGAACTGTGAACGTTGATCGGTTATGCCATGTTCACAAAAATCAGACTCAGCAATCTGAAACCACGTTTCAGCATTATCTGGCCAAAATGGTACTAGCTGAATTGTTTTGGCGGTTGAGCGAATCTGAATAACCTTGGGGCTAGGATCACTCATGACGAAAAGTATGCCGATAACAATATAGTACAAGAATAAACACAAAAAGGAACGAACTCACCGGGTTTATCTGCGTGTGAATTGAAGATGTAGTTCGTGGTTGGGCTCACCAGTTTAGTGATTTACGGTATTGACGTTCGCGAGTTGTACGGATTATACTAACGCAAGATCTTATACCAACAACCACTATAGTGTTCGTTCTTCGAGTACCAAATGGTAAAGCAAAAGACCAGATTTTGTCGTCCAAATACGATATATATTTTGGGACCAAATCGCGGGTAGGAATGAATGCTTAGCTAGCTAGTAATCGTGCACGCACGTGACACGACGAAGCACCAAATGGCGGGGATGCTTGACCGTAAGCCTTCAGCTAAACAAGTCGACTTAAACAGTGATGGTCAGCATCCAATGTTGAGTGATGATTGCTGTGGTTAATAATTTTGGGGAATTATTTACCGCTACACTTTCATTGTGTAATTGTACTTTCATTTGTTTATTACTCTAAATCATGCATGTTAACAATTGATACTTTTTGTACTCGCTCGATTTTTGAATTTTGATTGCTGCAATAATACACTGTCGTATTACTTCGCAAGTGCCTTTTTAATTACGTTGTGGATGTCGAGTAATCACAACGTTAGGACACAGATATAAACGCGAAGAAGTACTAAGATATACGTGCATTCTAGTTCAGTCAAATTAGAGCAGCAACAAACTGTTATACTCAAAAACTGTACACCCGCACATTTTAAAAGTCAATTTCGTGGAATAAACGCTCTCCTGCACAGCTCGTGTTCTGCTTTGATTACCTGTGTGTCTGCTGGTTTGCCTGTTACATCAGCTCTCATCTCATACCCTTTTTCGTGGAGGACAGCATGGTGAGACAACAGCTGCTAATGACACCGGTTAGCCTATGCATACAGTATTGATCCATACTACTTAAAACTGAGGAACAGGTCTACAGAATCGGTATCCTAAAAAATATCTGGAATTGTGTCGCGACATCAAAAAATCGAGTGCTAAATACCACTAGGTTAATGCTGGCACATCACAGAAGCAATGAATATTGAAAGTGTTATGGTAATGACCCAGGATCCTAGGTCATTGTAGCAGTCGACTAATACAAATTTGAAATGGCACTGTTCGTTATTGCAGGTAGGATGAATGAATACTTCGCTTTGTTTGGAAGGCTAGATACTTACATAATTAAGATATTTAGGTGTTAAAATCACGTCTGGATGTCGTGAATAATTGCAACCCAGCTAAAGAATGCACGTGCGTTCTTCAAACGTACACGTAATAATCAGCTGAGGTGTCAAGTATATTTTCATCGGTGGCACTAACAATTACAACCAAAACTCTACGGTTTTAAGAACTAAAGCTACACAACCTCGCGACCCTATAATACGACGTGCATTTTCCTCTCTAATCGGAAAGTACCTATTTTGTGAATTATCCGCGTGAGAAACCTGATCTTCCTAGCCGGTGAATTGAATTCCATCATTACTTCCATACCAAATCTCTGTGGGTAAGTTCAAATGTTTCGAACTACTTCAAAATCTTCAGGTGGTATATCTGTTGCAGCATCTTCCTCATTCGTTCAGATGAACAGGACTTGTTGGTCTGCCACGTGATTGCTGTGAAACTGAGTAACCAAAATGTACTAGGTAAAGTCGAGAAACTTTCATTCTCCCTATTTTGTACGTCATCGATCCTTTTGTTCTTGTTCTATTGAGCAGGCACTGTTGCCACCTCTTATTCATATGCTAGCATAAGTTATAGTAATTGTTAATATGGCGGTTGAAAGTGGTCTTGAAAAAAGCACTAAGACACCATATTTTGAAGTGTCTAGGGCTTCAGCCAGAGGAGGCAATAACCCAGGGACATCAACCCCATCTCGCATACCGATTCTAGAGACCCGTGTACATCTCCCCTCTTCTGATACAATGTCTACATTGCCACAATCTGGCACTGAAACGACACAGTCAAAACTAAGTGGACATGATATTGCACCTATTTCCGTTGGAAGCCAGTGTGTGACACAGCAAAACAAAAACATAACGCTCAAGATGTCATAAGACCTCTAAAGCGTCTTCTAGAAAAGCAGACGAATGCCAGCCAGGTCTATGGTGTTGTCAGTTCTCAAATTGATTCAACATTTGATTGCAAATTTCGCAAGCGATGGATGCACTGATGTTGTCACAAACGGGTACCAAAGCCATCTGAATTTCGAAATAACCCTTGAATCCGTGGTTCCGGTACATTTTCCCACTTTGTCGCCCTGGCACAGTCCCACAATTCGAATATCCGGATAGCAAAAACAGCACGATACATTTCTGTCTCGACACAGTCTCATACAGGGCTCCACCTGATCACACCAAACCAACAAGATTCGGTAAAAACCATACGAAGGACACTTCGACCCAACCCACTGGAATTATCAATCTTGATAATCTGAAGACTCCTGAAGTTACACCTTGAAAAGTAGGGAGAGACAGAATCAGGACTGAAAGTAGGCTCGCCTATTTCTTTACACATAATGATAAGGTATAAACTTTCCATTCTTTCAGCTCAGGGAATGTAGAAAATTATTCTGCGTACTAAGTCACTTTCCTATTCTCTCGTCTTTGCACATATATGTACAATGTACGCTGGTTATACCATCTTAATAATAACAGTATCTAAAGCACTGAGTGGATTACAGAATTCTATGTGGATGGGTAAAAGACACTGGAGTTTTCTGCAACTGTCCAGTTGTGACTGGTATGAATCAGGCCTTTTTGTTACCTGATCGATCCATTGTTGAAAGAAGAAAAATACTAGATTAATTTGTGTCGCCGCCTTTTTGTTGTAATTGATTCCCAAATTCAAGCACCTAAAACAATGTGTCATTTCCTCCGAATCGAGCTGAAGCGCTCATCTCGAGTTTCTGTTATGGGTTGTCCACCGTAGTTTATTATCATTGGATAGTAGAAAAATGGCAGTTCTTTTTCATATGGAAAGACGAGGTCATCAAAAAGTTCTGACAGGGATTTTGCTAACCACCGGTTCTGGTCTAGATACTATCACGTTAGCATTAAAGAGCGTGTGGGCTTTCCTGGTGAACTTATGCAAGACAGTTTTCCAATTACTCAGTGAAAAGTAGATGATTGTCCATAGCCTTCACCGATTGTTGAAGGACTTGATTTTCGGCACATCTATCCGATTTCCTTTTCGTACGAGGTTGCTTTACTCCAAGTCTTCAGCAGTCGAACAAAAGGTGCTGTCGAGATGTTTGGTCTTGAAAGTATATGGTACTTATCAGGGTACTCCTCGAACTCACGCAGCCATGCACGAGCTTATGGAATGTATTCGTTTGTAGTAATAACCACTGGTGGTATCTTCTCCGAATATATCCACTTTTTGATTCATGTCATTATAGTAGTACTACCGGAAGTGACGCTTGGCGAGCTCTTTGTCACAGGGACATGCTAATTGCCAGTGAGGAAGGTCAGTGATATAGGATATTCAGATAATATATTGCTTCCAGCTAGAAACGGGAACTGAATGAGAACTCCTCGGTCAGAAATCTTAGTATGTTTGTCATGTGGTCCACTCCTATTACAACATATATAAGATGATGCCGTAAGACTGGCCTGCACCGACTTCCAGCTTAAACATAGGTGTTTGCATCAGTACAGACACAAGAGGCTGGTGTGGGTGGCGTTTTCCAACTTATATCATCTGTGGTGAAGACGTCATACCTAGCTGTCGATCACCTTCCTCTATGAGCGATGTTAGTCGGCATAGGATTAGGTTGGAAAGGGGTTAGGTGTAGTCGAACCAAAACCTGGGAGCAGTCCATGAAGTCTTTGACTGTGGTTGGTTTGAGCTAGCCACGTAGGGAAGTACAAGCTGCCTACTTGGTTGAGATGCTCAGGATGCTAAGAACCCATGTCTGGAGACTATTTGTGGTATGGCACACGGTCGTTCTCAGTAACACAGATGCATTCACTCTTTGTGATTGGCCATATCGACTAAGCCGTGCTACTATTCCAGTTTTACTCAAATTTCCGCGAATTGTAGTCCCTCGGACCTGTTTATTTTCTCTCTTTTGTCTAACTTTGTGTGCTACAACACGGAGTGCGTCAACTTGAACTGCTGAGCCGCTGTGCTCACTCAGTCCCATGTTAAAACAACTCGGTTGGTTGATTAAGAAACCTACTTCTGAAGAGTGTACACCACATTGAAGCTCCGGCTGTGCAAACTGCGCTAGCGATTTCAGTTCACGAGATAGTTGTTCACGTATCTGGTTCTATGAAGCGTCATTCATTATATTTTAAAACCTACATTGTCTTAGATTGTTTTGTTGAAGCAGTTATAAAAGCCTCCTTAACCAATACGTTAAGACCCTAATCACCAATGTTTGCCGCATCTAAAACACACACGGGATTCGATCGCCTTTACGATTTTCACAGCTCTTAAATCAGATTTCTTGTTAACATGTCGTTAGTGAAGAGTATCGAATAACTTCTGGGTGTAGTGTGTGATTCCGCACTTAAAGTTATGTCAGTTTTACTTTGTAAAGTAGAGTAGGATGACTTGTATCGCCAGAGTTGTTGAGTTGATTACAACTGTTGAAAATGTCAGATAGATAATGACCTGGAACTACTACCACGTTAGCAAAGTTAGTCAAACTTCCTCGTAATCAACGGTAGTTATAAGCCTTCAATTGTCTGTCTGATGTAATTGCTTTAATCGAGGAGGGTGAAATATAAAGTGAATGAGAAAAAGTTTCCGAACCGAAGACAAGAAAGACATCAGTTAACGAAGACGCTGGCAGCTAGTCCGAGCTGTGCACTTTGACCACAAGCTTAAGGGATTTAACAGGCTCACTAATTATCTCCGTCCGTCTTAATTTATTTCAATTTACCGCTAACAGCTTGTATCCTAAAACACCTTATCACTACTTTCAACCTGATGTGCGAATGTGAGGTTTAGTCACTGTGCTCTACCGCAACATTCTGTTGATAATAAATACCATATTCATAACTTCCCTTACTTGTAAAGACCACGAGAAACCTCCCCGCTCAAAGTCACACTACAGATATAGAGATCGTAGTGATACATATGAGCTTTCACGGAAATATCGGGATCGCCACTACTATCATGATTACTACGGAAGAGATGTGGATAGAGACCGGCATCAACACGGTAGAGATAGAGAAGAGGGAGATCGAGATGGCCTAAGAGGACATGAACTGAACCACGGCGAAGAAATGTGGAAGCGTCGTTCACGTTCTAGGAGTCTTGCAATTAAGAGGGAGACAGAGGCTGTGGTGTATGTGGAAGGAATCAATTTTCGTTGTATAAGCACTTTAGTTTTCAGAAACACCAGCAGAACCTGGGATTGAGGAAGAGGCAGAGATTATGCGAACAATGGGGTTTTGCAGATGCAATACAACTACACGTTTCCCTTTAGTT